CTTTTTTAGGCTGTGACAAGCGGCCCCGCCCACTAATGGAAGCTCTGCCCAACTTTTCAAAAATGATGCAGATCGGCGAGCTAGTGACCGTACTAGCAGGTTATGGCCTCTCCCGTCACATAGAATGAAAAAAGGGAAAGACCAGAAAAAAGGGAAACTTTGTTCCGGGTGACGGGAGAGGCCATAACCTGCTAGTACGGTCACTAGCTCGCCGATCTGCATCATTTTTGAAAAGTGGGCGGAGCTTCCATTAGTGGGCGGGGCCGCTTGTCACAGCCTAAAAAAGTGAAAATTCGGAAGAAAAATCAAAATTCCGCGAAAAACGAAAGTGGGCGTGGTCAGAGGGGCGGGGCCTAGTGTGCTAGTGTGTAAAAGCATGGCTATATTCGTTTTGTGAAGATTGAATGTGAAAAAACCGACGTCGAAAGAAGTTAAAAATTCAGAACTTACATCAGTGGGCGGAGTCAGATCTGTATCGGTACCAATCCTTTTCAGTTGAAGTGTGTGTGCAACTAGCAAAAGTGAGAAAAAGTCGAAGAAGCAGATTTCATAAAACATTTTGGAAAACCGTGACCGCGCTGGAAAGGTGGGCGGGGGTGTTGGGGCGGGGCTTGCAGCAGTACCTAGTGTGGTCTAGTTATCAACTGCCTTGGTAGGGGGTGTGTCCGATTTGATTGAAAAGTGTCCGATTTAAAGTGAAATGGTACATATCTCCAGAGGTGACCATTCTACCAGGAAACTTATGCATTTGTTGGGGAAAGTGAATCCTTCCTCTCGTTTCTGATACTGCCCACTTCTTGTTTACAGTTCATGCTTGAAACAGGTTGTTTCTTCTGAAGAACGGCAACTTGAACGTTGATGAAGTATTCCCACCAATAAGCCTTAATTCTCCAGGACGAGTTTTCCAGATGATGGAGTGGTTACGTGCCACATTGAAATTTGAGAAATGTGTGAGGGGAAAACAAAAATTGATGCGAGATGAGACCGGATTCAAGTTTTCCGCAGACTGAATAGTACTTTCAGGTTTCTACCACCGTTTCGCGTATAGACTATTGCTACCACTGGATAACGTCGATCCTGTGGACAGCAGTGATACCGACCGTGCTAATCGTTAGTTTATGTTTATTTTTATCACGCTGCAAAAGACTAGCGCAAGAAAGCAGTAAGACCCTCAATTAAACAGTTAAATGACTTGACAGAAGCAGAAGTTGGTGAGTCCAGCTTCCTTTTCATCATGACACAGTCATTTCTCGGAATCATTGTCCTACTGCTCATTAGATTTGATGACCGTCCCTTCTTGTCCCACACTACACAGCTTTTTAGAAAAAAGTGCCTCTATTGCTTTGACTCGTAGTATAAATTTTGGTGACGAACAGACAGACGCACACACTTGCACTTCACTTAGCGCATTCTGTTCAGTAGGATAGGTTTGAATTCTCGATTAACAGAGTAACACATAACAATTTAATCTTCCTCACTTAACGGTAACAGAATGAAGCCAGGTAGGGAGAAGAAAAAAGGAGTTTTCACATGTTTCCGCAAAATCGAACGGAGTCCGGACACCTGCAGACACTTCGATGGAGTCTCCCACCAGCGTCGGGATACACTAGGCCTCCGCACCAGGGCACATCATTGTTGGGGATTCCCCAACAGGGGGTCGTATTTGGCCGCTGGGAGAGGGGGGGTCGTAATGAGTGCGGTAGCCAGTAACGAGCAGCGCAAAGGTGTCAGTGTGCTGAGTCCTGTACGTGTAGCGAAACTTGCTTTGTAGAGAATCCGGATATGTAAAAAAATAGTACAAAACTTTCTTTGATTAAACTAATCAGAAATTAACTGGAAATATTAATAAGTCGACATCATCTCGTAAGTAGGTAT